GACCATACATATCCCGAAGAAAGTTCTAGATTAGGACCATTACGTTATCGGAGATTTGTTAACGGCTACCACTGATGGTGCATTAATACAGTTTGTGTTGATCAAGTGATGTGATGTCTACAGTAGGAAAAGAATCATCAGTGACTGCTTTGAAATGTGCACTACATTCCGACGGTAATGCTAAGCAAACAGTTAAATTTTAAAAGCGCGGTTATAAGATCTAACAGATCTTCTTGTTACTTGTGATTGTTTGCAAAATGCAAATCCAAATTCATCTCTGTTCCTTTGTACGTTTTGTAGCCTGTTTTTATCACTATAATTACTTGTGTGACTAGCTTGTACACAGCTTAGCACTATTGCGTAACCCGTAACTTGAACCTTTTTTAGTTCTGTATTTCATGTAATACTCTACAAATGTTGACAGTTTTTGTCACACAGTTTCCTGTTTCTTTGTTTTTGTCATGCAGTCTTCCTATTGCAATTCTCTTATTATTTGCACCAAATTACTTCGTTATTTCTTAGCTGAGTTAGCTTATTTTGTTTTGTTTTACTCTTTATTAGCATTAGGCTTATTTTAGTTTGTTTATTGTATTTCAGTGTTACTCGTTCCTGTTTATTTTGTCCCTGTTGTTATTGTCTCCGCTACTTTTGTCAATAAACTAATATAAAATCGTACTCTCGTATCTGTCGTAACTACGTCGACCGTTTTGGCCGTCTTACACTGGGTTTGAAGGTTTTAAAACGTTTCTCTACGTTTTTCGGAGCGTTTTTTAAGTTTCCTTGAGCTAAGAATTATGGGTAAATGTGCCAAGCGCCATCTTTTTTCCTACGGCGGATTGCGGAAGGTCGTCTAAAACATAGCGACGTTTTCCTGTTTTTCCGAAGTTTCGGGGAACATAACAAGGTTTAAAGGATAGCTCTTTTATCCTGTTAAATACAACAGGACATCAATTCCTGACAGGAATAAAAGAAGGGCATTACCCGAACTTTAAGAACTCAAACTTGTGTGCCATAATATTCGTTTCTCATATTAAAAGGAATTAACCGTAAAGTGAGAAAACCAACAGCCGAAAAAACCTATCGTTTTTATTCTGCCTAGCGCGCGGTCCCGCCGAATAGAATCGTGAAATTCGATTGGTTTCTAAAAGTGTTCAATTTTTCCATGAGGACTTCTTGCGCAAGTAAACTTTTCTTTGTTAGAAAAATAATCAAAATCTTATTGAAATCGCTTGTTTGTTAAAGCCGTAAAGGTCAGCACACACGAGAGGACTAGCCCCTGCGACTAGTTCCTGCAAGAAGTCTAGTCGCAGGGACCAAATTCTGGTCCCTGCGACCTGTCCCTCGAAACACTTCGTGTGAACTGTTCTTCGCCCCATCCTCGACTAGAGAGCCTGTTCACAGGCTAGAACTAGCTGTTCTCGGGACAAATTGAAATAGACCAATCACAGATCCGAATGACAAGCTCCCATAACTACCTACGCGATCTGTTTCAAGATGGTGCTTCACCGCTCGGCTCGGGAAGACAGCGTTGATGATGAAGAAGCAGCCTGGAGTGTTACTAACACGAATTTTACGAAAAACAAAAATTGACAACTCTGTTATTCGGAAATCGGAAAAAAGAAGCACTGGATAATTTAGCTGAACAATTTGCAATATTTTTGGTGGGGCTGGTTTTAATGTTACAGTTTTAATTTAAGCTTAATAATAATTTCGGTCTAGCATTGGGAAAGCCACAGAGTGAAAGAATGGTGCCAGTACCTTTTGCCGCTACGTTTTTACTATATTCCTGTGTAGTTAGTCCCCGCAAGTGAATTCAATTAACAACAAGGGATTAGTCCCGGGTATACTTAAAGATTTATTTATCACAATTTAATGGCAAATTACAACAATGATAGTCATGATAAATAAAAAAAAGCCGTAAAAAAAGCCACAAGGATGATTTCTAAAAGAGTTACGCGACCCCATATAAAAACAAATCGCCATATGAACTATTACACGGCTCTTAGCTCTTGCTGTAATAGTTGAGAGCTGATTTTCTCTACTTCCAGTAGATCCTATGATGTCCTCGTTCTTTCCTTTTGTTTATAGGAAAAAAGCTGAATCTTCGCTTGGTCAATAACAACTGTTTGTTTCGAAGTTCCTTGTCCTCTGCTACAGGTCGTGGATGTTTGAAAGCAATTTCGTAATATTGGTTTTCAGCCTTGAAACAACAACTTCTTGCCCCTAGGGGATGTAACAGTCGTTTTCAATACCAAAGCCGTAATTAACTGTAAAAGTTCCTGTTGTTTGCCATTTTAAAACGAATAGCGATGTTACGGATGAAAAATTTGGACAATAAAAAGAATTTGCCATCGTTGTAGGTAAACAGAAAATGTCGCTAATACGCATAGTTTAAAATCAAGTTGCTGTTGGCGGAAGGTACTTATCCAAATGGCATAAGTAGTAGCCTTTATGACCAAGAGATTTTTTTGATGAGCTTGAAGAAAATAAAGTTCTTTATCTTTCACTGCTGGGCTAGTCCTTGATCGGCTTTTCCGCACGAATACCCACATGTGTGCGTTCAGAGAAGGCGGCTCTTGTTATTCTCTCCCAAGACGCTTCATTAATCTCTTCTGAACTAGAGAGAAATTAATTAACCCACACTTTCACGCTAACATTGCTTTTTTTTTCAAGAAAGAAAACCTATTGAACCTGCAGGTCTTCTGTAAGCGATACATTGTGGTCGTGAACTTGCCTAAAGGTCTTAAAGCTAATATAAAGTTGCAATATCAGTGTAAAAACCTTTTGCATTCCGTCACTCTTGAGAATCTTCTTTGTCCCAGAGTCTGTCACTTGAACCCAAAGGATAAGAAGCGAACCTGTCAATGTACAGCATCAGGGTATAGCACCGCGCCTCTCTATATGTACTCACTAGTGACGTTACCGGGATAAGACGTATTTCAGAACGCTTAATAACCGTGGATAATTGTGATAATTATTGGACTGAGTAGTCATTACCTTCTCGCAGTGGGAGTCCGATCTGTTAATCTCAATTTATATCCCATTTACTACGCGCGATCTGATTGATCAGTGGAATTCGGACCTCTAAAATTTGCGGCTGTTGTTGTCGCCAAAATTCCTCGAGATTTACCGGCAGTAAAGCTAATGAAGTTTCCCCACTTTTTAACACAACTCAAGCCCTCGTCATGGCTTCTTTCCATTACTTTCTTTAGTTCACCGTCGATTCTTCACTTTTCTTTATTATTACATGACTGGGAACATTGTTTCATTGTGATTGGCTTAGAGCACGCCAATTTGTCGTTCTTTTTTTAAATTTGCACTGCAATGCAAACTAACACGGCACGTTCGTCATTTTCCCAGTCATATAATAGATGAGTAATTGTATGAAAACTCGAGAAGTCAAGGAATTGCACTACTCCGCTCGTGATATTTGAAAATTCTTTCAAATCGCTCTCGTCTATTAAAAAGCTAAATCCTTAACTGCGCTCGCATTCAGACGATAACCTATACTAATTTATATTCTGTATTGAAATAAATCTACTAGTGTTCTATCACGAATGCCCTTCTCTTAGTGGCTGTTCTACTCACTATCTATTCTGTTTTAGTATAAATCTACTAGCGTTCTATCACAAATGCCGTTCTCTGATTGGTTACGCTACCCACTATCTATTCTGTGATAGATAGTGGGTAGCGTAACAGTGTGCCCTTGTTAACAAAATGACGGCCACTTCTTGGCGTTTTCGAAGTGTTTGTGAAGAGGATTTAGATAAAGCTTTTAACGACTAATAGATTTATACTAAAACAATTAAATTACTCGCTCTCGATTTCTATGCGTGATAGACATCTCGAGCTCCTAATCTAATTGTTTAGTAGATAGTGAGTAGCCAAACGGCAGTGTGCAATTGTTAGCAAAATGGCAGCCGCTTCTTTGCGTTTTCAAAGTGGCTGTGAAGAGAGTTTAGATAAAGTTTTAAACGACTAGGGGGCACCGACTATTTATTTGAGGAGAAACTGCAGGAGAATTTAACGCGACAGTGCCAAGCCCTATACTTGTTTATATTTCGCGCGCTTGATGTATGACGTGGCGTGTCGTTGAAACATGAATTACGTGTGCAGTAAGGATGCGCAGGTTATGCAACTTTGTGAAGTCTAACCCCACGTCTACTACATGTGCACCAGCTGAGATTTGGTTTCTTATATTAAAGTGCGCTCTCCTTTAGTCTTAAAAGCCCCCCCACCCCCCGTTCCTCCCTAACCTCCCACCCATAAGGTTCTTGAAAAGAAGTACCCCTTCCCTGAAGGCTTCATAGGGGTCGAAACAGCTGTTCACGGTTGCAGTTCTTGGCTTTCAGTGTGGACTCTATCAAAGACTAACAATCAGTCTTGCCTCACTGTTATGTTAATGGGGATGTTACGCCATAGAGAGCGATTTTCCAATTGAGTTATTGTCAGAAACCAAAGTTTTCACACTGGCCAATATAAAATTGGACACACAATCCAGTGAACCAGTCAAGACGCCAGACAAACACCTGTAGCTTACGTAAAACGCGGGAAACGTGTGCGAGAGAGCCTGGCGAGAGTCTCTTGTCTGACAATAAATAAGATCAGTCGGGTATCGAAGCAATGGAAAACAAAAGAAATTGAGAAATACTTTCGACGGTCAAGTGAAAAACGTTCTAAGCCAATCTCTTAACGTAGTAATACAAAACCAAAGTAAAAGCGAAGTACCTTCTATACATCAGTGAAAACTGTTCTAAATACACAAACATGAACAAAAAATTACATAACAATGGTAGTGTTTATCCAGGCAAACCTGAATATACGTATAAAATTTTACATGTACATGTAAAGCACTTAAAAAAATTATCGACGCACGAAATTTCTACTTGAGTTTAAGAAGATTTCTTGTCCGTAATTTCTCTATAAATGATATTTATGGCTATCTTGATACTTTTCCAGCGAACGAGTCTCTCTTTCATAAGCGGTCTTGTTTACTTAACACGACAAGTCTCCGACGAATTATGTTTTTCTAGATAAATAAATTATTTTGCCGACGTGCTGAATTAGCTTCTCGCTGAAAACTGTGCTGGAAACCTTAGTCTGATTGATCTAAAGGGAAAGAAAAACTGAGCTGAAGGTTAATGTCGCCGATCTGCGTGAAAAATAATTTATTATTGAAACCGAAAAGCTAAGCACGATGCAGTTGAAATATATAGATGAATACGGCCAATAATAACTAAGTTAAAACCTACCATTGTTCAATTCATGTATAACAGCTAGACTCAGGCAGTGATACCCTAATAATTTATATCGTAAAGCTTGGCAGAAAAATTAGGGACTGAAGGCCCGGTTTTTCTATGTTTTTACATCTATCTATAGACTACGTCTTATGCTCTCAAATTATCCTTACATTATTATTAGAATAACCTTTCTTCTTTGGCTCCTCGATGTTCTAAATTGAGTCTACCGCAAATCCGGATAGATCTGTCGGCTTCGAAAAACATCATCAATATATTGCAGATAAACTGATGTCACTGATACGCCTCCCGATCAGATTTCTGAGCAAGCAAAATAAATACTATTCACTAAACTTCGACGCAGCTGCTGCCTGAAAAAATTTTAATGTCAGAAAAGAAAAGCAATTAATTTTAAAAGGCACTGAATAGGACAACTTGTAATTTGTAATTTGTCTTAGGTGTTGTTGTGATTAGTCTTTGTAATGTTCAAAGCTCTTCCTGGGCACATCGAGCTTTAGCGCTAAACGGTCTTTAATTTTACAAGCGTAGATGTTATTGTAGCGGCCGGCTAGTCGTTTCGATAGTTCAATGTTGAACGCTATGTTAACAGCTTCTCTGAGGTAGTCTTCTTATGACTTTGGACTAGATTTTCTAAAAGAAAGAATAATTTTGATGCATTAACTAGAACTGCCATGAAAGGGTTTGATAAGTGGCTTGTTTCCTCTTTCTAGTATTACTGTTCCAAAGTTCAATTTCCTATCGCTCCCTCGAACTGCTCAAACTGCTGTTTGACTAAGTTTCTCCTACGCTTTGGCCGCCAATAATGGAGAGTTTCCAATTTTCCCCAACTGTTTTATTGTTGAAGCGTTTTTTTGAACCAGGAGAAAAACACCATGGCAGAATCGAACACGGCACGGTACTCGTCCGCATCTAAGGGAACATGATATTGCCTATTCAAAGTGTGAATCACATAAAACTTCGAAAATACATCGGGCTGGTGGTTTAATCGAGACTTTCCTAGCTGGGATATATACCTGGCCATACTAACTATGACCTGATCTGACGAAACACTACACACACATTACCTTCAGACTTAACTCTTCAAACAAAATGAAATTCATAGTTACAATAGCTTCCCTTAAGAAGTCACATATAACCATATTAATTTCAAGTAAAAAGACGCGGCAATCAAAAATATTGTTTTAAAATTATTAAATTATGAGAGTGACTTACCAGTGGCCTGTTGCTGCAAAACTCAGTGAAATAATGAATATACGGCTCAAAGTTGAATAGGAAACAAAAATAAAACATTTAAATATTCTCTGTCCGTGTACACGTATTTCATTTGCATTCGCCCGTCTTATGAGCTCTTTTGTTTTTAATGCAGGCAATTAATTTTTTTTTTTGCGGAGTTCGGAACATTTTTTGAACGGAACAAACTGTGGTTGGTTTCAATTTCTATCGCTGTAACACATAAACAAGCTCAAATGTCGTGTGATAATTTTCTTGATGTAGAATGAGGAACTGATAACAATGAAGCCATAGGGTTTTATTGATTCAGCTAAAAGATTTTATTTGCATAAAATAATAATTTCACTATTTTAAGTGCGTAACCGTGAGAACAGTAATATCGAATTGAAAATTTGAAATTGCCTTACTTCTTTTCATATGCAGTTTTAGTATGTTTAATTATAGACACAACGCCGGTGACTGGCAATTTAAAACACCTAAAAAACGTCGGGAAATTCTACTGAGGAAATTGCTACCAGAAACGCAGTAAAAAAATATTTTTTTGTTGACTGAAATAAATCAAAGTGATCTTAAGGTGGCTGAACACAGTTGTTGATACCTGTGTTTCATTCACCTTTTTCTCTAAAACCCTTGATCTCTCGGTCGCCAAAAATGGCAGCAAGCAAGTTAACAACACAAACCTTGGTTTTTTGATGGTTGAGCTGCCGTGGTACCGTTGCCATGGCAACATGAATAAAAACAAAAAGGCCTTTAAAATCGGTTTTGTTTATTTATAGAAAATCTAGTCATTAGATTTTCTTTATAATTTGCATGCNTAGTGTTTGAATTACCTGCTAAATCTTGAACAAATTTGCACATAACTCCAACAACTTTACAAGAGCAGGCAAGAAGGGATTAACTCGGACTTACATAGTTCATCCAACATTGTCCTACATAAAAAGCGGCCTTATGAATCACAAACACACCAGCCGAAATTCAACTCCAAACAACTAACGCGATGGGTTTGTTAAAAACCAAAAAGGATTCACGGCATAACTGACAACTTGTTTGAATAAGAAAGTTAAAGGATTTCCAGGAAATTAGAAACTCTGTGATTTTGCACTTCACCGGCGACATTTTTCCAGTTATGCATGTAAAAATATTGTTTAGTGTTTGAATTGAATCTGCTTGCCATCCATGTAGTCACGAAACCTCACAGGCGGCTATTTCCACACAAAATTGGTGTTGGTCCATTTTTGGGGATAGTCTGATAACAGTAGTTGCGGGTTATAATGTTCACGTCGAAATTAAAGTCAACAAGATGATGACTTCATTGACTAAATTGGTTCAGTGACGTGTCATATTAGTGACGGGCTTGTTTGAACAATGCAGAAACAACATGAAAAATGTAGTTGCATTCAAATAACATGACAGAGATACGCCGTTTAAAACTGGGTCAGATTACTGAAATTTTAGACTAAAGTTTTGAAAATAGGACAAACACAAGCACAAGTATTATAGCTTAGTCAACCAAGACGATTCACGAAAGAAGTGGGGGCTAGCTAACTAATTACTATTGATCTCAAGAGCCTCACCTTTCTTAGACTTGGCCGAAGAGTGTTAATAGAAATCTCACGAGGAAAACCCTGAGAGACACTTTTCCTTTGGACTCTTATAACCGGGGAGGTCTTCCCTTTTGGTCGATCCCCATTTTGTACCTTTAGCACTATAACCAAAACTTTGGCATGCATCGCTGACTTTTAAATCATGATTAAGGCACACTCCGACAAAAATAATTATGTAAATTAAATAAGAGTGGACTGAATCTACCTATAGGCCATTTGCATGATGGCGTCAT